CACCTCGTCCATTAGTGCTCGGCCTTCCATATGGGTTTGGGCCCAATACATGGATTCAATCTATCATTGGAGTTCGGTCTGTAGGTAAATTTTAGAAAATCAAATCAAACCGAAGGCCTGTGTATTCACAGTTTCCTTAAATCGAATTCGCCGCCTCACCGGAGTGCAAGAAGTTTTGATCGGTGTTCGATTCCCAGGATACAATCGGTTGTTGGTTCACGCTGCACTATGTTAACCGCTTGTGAACTAGCTGTGATATATTCTATCTCACAAAGAAATTATAAGCATAAAGAAGAACTTGAAAATGAGAAAGAAAATTGTTGCTTAGAGGAAGAAACTTGCATTTCACTTGTGATTTTCCAACCTAGAGAGACTCCTATTTATACCAATGGAAGAAAAGCTAGCTCTTTAATCAAAGAGTTAAACCATTCATTGATAAATGAGTTAAAAACATGAAGGGACTTGAGTTACAACATATGAAGAGACTTCTATTTAATATTTTTCATTCAATTCTAACATGGCCAAATTGTCACATGGATAGAATGATATGGAGTACAGGATGAGATTCGCTTGTTGTGTGGCTGCCAAGTGGCCATACTTGGAGTCTCATACAAAATTGTACCCTATACACCCTAGCAGAGTGGAGTGGCTAAAAAAATGAACAACTGATGCCACCATGTTTTCAGCGAATTTGCTTCGTAAAATCGTCGTGTAAGTTTACGTACTCAAAAGTCAGATCATCAAACTGAGTCAGCTCGTTGAAAAGTTGAATAATCTCTTTACTCAATTACTGGTCGTTTCTTAAGCCCCATTTGACCCCCATTTTTTTGAAATAAAAATGAATGGAATAGTATTTTTTTTTAAAAATGAATGGTTGAAAAGGAAGGAAATTTTTTTGATTTACGTGTAATATTATTTTATGTAAGATTGTGTAGTTGAGAATAGGAGAGAGAAATAAAATGTAATGGAATGAGCGCCAAATGGGGCTAAGATGCTTTAATCTAGCGTGGGAAAAGAAAAAAGTCAAGTTCTTGTAATTTTTCCTTTAATTAAATTTTTCATCAAAATTGCCTTTAATTATTAGTTAGTTTTTAGATTTATGTACAAAACTTTTATTCATCCATAATAGTATATGAGACAACATCGACGAGGGTGAATAAAATATTGATTTGTCAAGTATGAAATTGATTCACCTCCGAGATATCAAGAAGAGTAAAGAAATAAAAATAGAATATTTAAAAAAATAATAATAACAAAAACAAGAGCCAAACGAGGGAAAAAAAATTCACATAAAAGAGAGAATTTCATCAAGTGAAAAATGATACAATCAACACAATATTTCACACACCCAGGAATGTTCTCCGGCCAGACCTAACAATAACGAGTATTGGTGAACACATATCAGTTTGAATAATTTTTTTGTCTATTGAATGGTCAACTAAATGAAAAGAAGAAGAATGCATTACTGATTATCAAAGACCAAGCAATAGAGTTGGATGATTCTAATGGATTCAAAGTAAGATTGAATTTTATTATTTTTTTTTATTTTTTGTAATGGACCATCTTAGGTTTATATTTATCTTGCAGAAGGAGATTGATGTTTTGGGCTCGTTGGATGGTTTGAGACCTTTTGAGTTGTAATATATAGTCATTTTGACTTCGCTATTAGTGTCTTTATAAGTGTAGTAAGAATTGAATGACCAATTCAACGCAAAAAATTGAGAAACAAAAAAATTAAAATACGTTCGAACACTCAAGGATGTGACCAAGCAAAGAGTCAAAAATGCTAAAACAAACCACCTTATCTAGAAACATCACAATCATTCATGTTTTTTTTCGTCGGTAGTGTCCTAATTTTGTTTCAATTTCTACTAAGAATCATTTTCCAAGGTTGTTTAAGGATTATTATTTAAATCACTTAAAAGTAAACATTGTTTAAAACCTAAATTCATTTCAATTTGTAAAATTAGAAAGAAAATTCATAGTCAATTTCCTATAGTCCCAAAAAAAAACTAAAAGCATTTCCTAGAGATTCTTTATATATGAGATACTCTCCATTTTAAATAGTTAACCTTTAAAATTATGTTTTAAAATACTCTTTAAATTAACGTTTTAATTTAGGTATCTCTATAACTAAATGTCATAAAAGTGTTTCAATTTTTAATATAAGAAAATATTAAAATAATATCAAGTTTTAATATAAGAAAATATTAAAATAATATCAAGAAAATCTAGTTAAAATAAAAAATAGAGAAAGACAATAAATATTTTTTAGGAGTAGTAAAATTAAGTGTTAAATATAAATGGTCTATTGGAATATTTCAAAATTTTAACTTTCTAAATTTATTTATAGATACTCTCTAAATGATAGAATATATTTATTAAAAATAGAGAGCCTTTTGGAGATACTGTAAGACTCTATGCAACCAAGGCAAGTTGCCAAATGACGACATCGTTTAGCTAACCATATATTGAACTAGCTACAACCTGACAATTTCCAATATCTTTCAAGTAGAAAATCATATTCTTATGAAGGCACATATTGATTTTATAAACACGCAATTGATCAATTCGGTTGCAATTTTGTTTCTTTGAAGAAAAGACCAAATAAACGAGTCATCTCATAGTTAGAGAAAACGTTAAAAACGAAAAATAATTAACAACAAATTCGAAATTTTCTAATGGGATTTAGGAGAATAGAAAGAAATTTAGAAATTGGCAATGTTTACGAGTGATTGAGAAGGTTAGTTCGAATGAATTAGGTCATGAAATGGAATTGACACAATTGATGGTCACGTCTATATTTTATACACCACCTACTTTAAGTTTCAAGAATATGACATATCGGCTTATCGTATTGAAAAAAGTTAGTCGGTCTCTTTATATTCCCTTAACTCTTACCTTGAGTCGTTCAAATTATTGTTACTTGCCGAAATTTCTTTCTACCTATGGTAAATTGATTTTGTTGTCACGTAAAAATTGACTATTGAAATATCCTCAATTCCTATTTTATTCCATTTGGAGTGGGACCATGAAAGACGAGACATTTTGTTATCTCTATTCTCTTCGTAAGTAGGGGTTCTTTAACCCTTCCAAACAAGAGACATAGCATAGGTCGGTGAGGTTTTTTGTTTTTTTTTTTTGGCACTATTTTATTTACATAGAACCCACCTCCATATGAGACTTCTGTAATGTCTCTGTGAGATCCATTTCTGTACAAATAAATTTTCTCTAAAAACATATAAGTGTGCACGAGTACAGGTAGCCTTGTTTTTTTTTTATTTTTTTATTGTGGGTGAATGGGGAAGGGAAGACAACGGCCAAAAAAGAAGAATGATGTGCTTAGCATTAGCAATAAGGTTTATGGGTGAATTTCAAGGACCACGCCTGGATTGAATCAAGGAGACAGGACCACTGACTAATTTGCACTACTATTAAGAGAATGTTTACTGCATTGATTATTCAACTAATTTAGATAATTATAATTAATTATTCTATTAAGATCTCCAAGAAATTTAATTAACTAGCTAATTAACAAATAAATTATCCAGATTAAACAATCTAAAAGTGGTCATCACTTTTCAGCCCTATGATATGTGATATAATTACTTAATTCAAACTAGATTATAATCGTTTCATTCTTTATTGTACTGAAATTTTGCAGCGGAAAGAGGACGTAGCTCTGACTCGCTTTCGATGTTCAAAATATTCATAATCTTCACGTCTCTATATACATTACTTAAAAAATATGGTTTCAGGCACGAATTTTTCATTTTTAAAACCTTGATATACGTTGCTATTACTCTTTATGAACGGAATATTTGGAAACGCAAATCCATTGCTAATTTAAGGGTCGACCGTAGGTAAAGAGTAAACATTTTACTAACGAATTTTTCGTTGGTAAAGTATGAATCTTTTACCAATGAAATTTCCGTTGGTAAAAATTTTAACCAATACCAACTGACTTTTCGTTGGTAAATGTCTATCATTACAATTAGTAAAAATCAATGTTGTAAATAGTCGCATAGGTGTGAGGCATGGTTAAAAAAAATTTATTTATTCATTTATTATTGTTATTACTATTTATTTAATAATTCTAATTTTTTTTTTAACTTTTAGGCAACCGAATTGAAAGGCCAAAATATTTTTTAACCACTTATTGGACCACAAATTAATTTATAGAGGACAATTTCGAAAACTTTGTTGTGAACTTTCGATGTGGGATAATTGAATTACTTTTACCAATGGATAATTCGTTTCTAATTACCAACGGGATATTTTTAGGTGAAATGTCCAAATGTTAAATAATTACATGAGGGACGGAATATCCGTTGGTAAAGACATATCATTGTTACCAATGAAAAATCCGTTACTGATTATCGTAGTTGAAACTGAATTACTTTTACCAATGGATTGCATCCGTTGGTAATATTCTGTACGTCACCTATGAATATTTCGTTGGTGAAAGAACCAAATGTTAAATGGTTACATAAGGCACGAAATATCCGTTGGTAAAGAGCTATCATCTTTACCAACGAAAAATTCGTTGGTGATTATCGTAGCTAAAAGTGAGTAACTTTTACCAATGGATAATCTGTTTTTAATTATCAACGGATGCAATTCGTTGGTAATTTTTCGTAGGTAAAAAGTTGTTTTTTAGTAGTGATATAATGGATAGTATAAACATGTATGTCTTGTTTGACAACAATAGACGACGAAACTGGTCCTCATGCCAGACAAAAATACCAAGGCACACCAAATAATACTCTTTTCTGAAAATTGACATTTTGTTATTGGTGCTTCTCTGATCAATGAAAAAGAGGCTAATTAGGCAATTAAATTAAAGAAGCTGGTGGTGGAATAAATCTGTGCCCCTTTTGAGTTCCTGCATTGCAGGTGTAATGATGACGATAATAATTAAAAGATGCAAAATATAAGTGAAAATCTGATCACAGAAATAAGCCATTAATCATGGCTTCATCATGATATGAATCTTGAAGTTTGAGGCAGTAAAGATTAATGATTTTCAAAGTTACATCATAATGAGTTAATGATGATTACTATGATTACAAAGATTAGATTTTGGGAAAAATACATGGTTGATTAACATCAGAACATGATATCTAGATCACGAAGGAAAAAAAAAAATCAGAAAATCTCAACTTTTTGATTGGTAGATTGGGTTAGGGTTCTGCAGAGATAGCTGATTTTGCATGGCAAATGGAGGGTTGAATGTGTAGAAAACAGGATTAGTAATTGTAGAGAAATTGACAGTAGTGTCAATCTTCTGGCCTAATCCTTCAAGTGCTTTAACTTGTGATCTTAGGAACTTGAGATAATTTGCAGCTTCATCAAGCATTGATGCAGTGTCCATTTTGCTTCCTCCTGGGACTAGTCCCTGCAAAACCCTAATTCTTTCACTTATTCTTTCCCTCCTTTGTCTTGCAGCGACGGTTTGTGGATCAGTTGATATTTTTACGTTCTTTCTTTTGGGCTTCTCGACCGCCTCAACACCAAAATTCACCGGCCTGAAGGCAGCAGCCTGATAAATCATCTCTTTCATTTGAGCGATGGCTTCTGAATCGGGTTCATCCATGGAGGATGCAGATAAGGTAGGCTGCTGGAAGTTTATGTTTGACGAATTTGAATAATAATCTGATCTGGGCTTCTTAGATTTCTGAGGATTAGACGAATGATTTGACTGATGAAAATCAAGATTTTGGTACTGTAATCCATTTGGTTTGATTAGTTGACTTTCTGATCTGCTTCTCTTGTTGGGATTAGGCTTATTATTAGCACCTGAAAAACTGGATTGAATGACATATTCATCAGTCGAAGCTCGTGATACTGTTCTATTGGTGTAATGTTTTACAGTGGATGCAGATGTGCCGTCCGATTTGATGAGGGCGCTTGAATTTGGATTCCACAAATCTTTGCTATCAGAGAAAAGCATGGAAATCCCATCATCTTCAACTGATGTGTCTGGTTTGCTGTTGGTTGTTGATAACAAGCAATCAATGGATTCTAGAGAGCCCGGATTCGAAATTCCAGCCTTGATTTCTTGAAGACCACCAAAAACTTGTCGATTTTCCAGGCCGAATTCAGCACTGAGGCAATTTTGTTGATTAATCATTGTAGAATTAGGCCTATTAACTTCAGCGGAAGAACTCATATGGCCATTAATGGCGACTCCACAGCTTGTCGATTTTGGAGTCATTGTCGACATATTCCAGTTTGAAGAACCCAACTGCTGAATCATCTCAATTTTTTGGAGCGGTTGAATTGGACTTAAAAAATAGTTTGAAAGACAACCATTCGACTCGGAAATTATCAAGTTTTCTTGAATATCCTGATGCTGATTTCTCCATGAAGAGGAAGTGTCTGTAAAATTATCCCATTCAAAACTATCCATTTGATTTTTGTGCACAAACCTGAAAAACCACAATCTATATCATTTTTTCCTCTCATTAATTCCATATCCAGTACTAAACAAAATGCAGAACTCCAATCTCATGTATTAAAATGAAGAGGGGAAAAAATTAAAACACGGAGGCATACCGATCGGAAATCAGAACCAAGATGCTGCAAGAAGGCTTTGAACTTGAGAATATTGATAAGTAGAGAAGGAAAAAAAAATGTAAACACTACTTAATGAGAAACTGAAATCTTCAAGAAAAACAGGCATTGCCGACGTCAGTTTTAGCTACTAATTTTGTCCAAAGCAGATTATTATGTAACTGAAAAAAAGCTAAGATAAAAGTCCAAAAACCATTTAATATTAAATGAATCAAAAACCAAAACATTTATTATTATAGATAGTTATCGATGACGAGCTTTGGACATACATACCATACCATGAGCTGCTATGAAGGGCCAAAGTTGTTGAATTCTTTGTAAAATTGGTGGTTGGAAGATCTGGCTTATATGAAGAAAATGGGAAGAGGGTTTTATAAATAAATATACTTCAATGCATACAGCAAATACTGAGAAATACTTATAATTAAATAAGTACAAATGAATGAATGAATAAGGTAATTCAATATTCTGTTTTTTTGTTTTGAAAGTTGACAAGAGATGCAAATGGTTTTGAAAAGATAAGGTTTTTAGTCAGTTTGGTGGGGCTGTAAGAAGTGTTTGTTCTTCAAGCATGAAGCCATTTTGAAGTTTAATTTAGTATAAGTTGGTTTGTGAAAATAATTAATTAAATGTAAGTTTATTAAGTGGGAAAAACGAAGTTCTGACCTCCTTTTTGCTACTCAAGTCTCAAACCATTTCATGCGCTCTGTAAAGTTTCAGAAAACTGCAAATTAAGCATTTTTGATCAGTTACTTTACTAAAAGATTTCTGTTAATCATAGTTTTAACTTTTAATCATAATCATTTTTGTGCTCAAGAACTTTAACTTTTTGATTTTCACAAGCATAAAAGAGGCATAGGGCAATGATTTGTTGTGTTTTTGTAAAAAAATGATATTTCAACGTCTCCAATATTTTTAACAGCCCTCGTAGCATAACGAGTTCAAATCTGCATGATATTTACTGGAGTCAAGTTTGACACTTATGTATAAATGGCAATTATTGGCTTGGATTTGTAGGGGTGTAAATAAAACCGAAAATCTCTCAAGATTGGGGTAGAGCCAGCACCGACGAGCCATAATGACCACCCGTGGTGGCTTCGCCGTATTTTTTTCCTCATATATTGAGCGGCTGCACTCTAGCTCGAATTCGCCCTAACTCACTCGAATTCCTAGATCCGTCACTATAATCAAGATCTACAGATATATTTTCTTAGGATGAATGTGTGAGTGCGCATGCGTACGTAGAGGGGAGTTTTGGAGTTAAAAAGGATGTTTGTTGGGAGACAAGAAAAAAGATTCAGAAGAGAAGATGCAACTTGCTCCTAGGATTGATTTATGTTGGATATTGGTTAAATAAATTGAGAATTGAAAATCGATTAAAGTTCGTATCGAATTCGGCCAAATACTCAAAAGCTCGACTCGATCCGTTTAGGCAAAATTGTTTGCCACTTCGCCGCTTTGGGGCGCACAAACGGGGATCGACCTGGGTGTATTGTTTGGAAAGGGTGCATGGTTTGGCATTAGTGAATAGACACCTTTTCATAAAGGTGCATTGTTTGGAAAGGGTGCATGGTTTGGCCTCAACTATTTCGTCCACACCCCTTCATGGTCTATAAATAGGACCCTTTGGGTGTCCTATTCCTCACAGTTTGATATGCAAAAACGTCTCTCATCCTCTCTTCTATCCAAAATCAAAATCATTTCATTTATTTTGATTTTCTTTCATTTCATCTGTGGAGTACATAAGCCTACATTTGGTTCGTTGTACTTGTGTTTTGGAGTGCTACAAACACAAGTGTAGCCGTTGTATTTTGGGAGTCGATTGCCGAAATCCGTAGACACCGTTGCGGGGCAAATTCGACTTAAGGACAAAGAGTCCAACTCTTGCCTCGGCTTTGTCACCATCATTATACTTATTTCGGCGTCACTATTCACAAAATTCTTCCAACAATTTATTCTTTCACTTCTCATCCATTTTCTCCAGTATGTTTTTTCCCCCAATCTTTATTTACTCTCACGGAAAAAAAATGTATGTACAGAGGGGGGACTATCGAACCTTGTCCCCCCTCTCACATAACACGTGGGCCCCGTGTGTATTAAATAATGTCAAACCTTGGCCCCCACCTCTTATTGTGAATAATAGGTAAAAGATTACGTAAAAAAATTTGGTACGTGTAGCATAGTCTTTACTCTCACACACACATAAAAACACAAAACGCGATAGGGCATCTGGTTTCTGAGATTTCATCACATGCATCCCATCACTACAGCTAATTTGAATGGGTTCCCATAGCAGTTTTACTTCTTTTATGCCACTCTGAGCTTAAAAAATTTACTTAATTTAAATAAACAATTTTTTATAAGTTGGATTATGAATTACTTGTTTGACAATAAATTAAGCAACTTTCAAAATAAATTACTTTTTTTCGCACAAATTACTATATCTTGACATTTTGTATAGATTACTTTATTGGATGGATATATAGCTCGCCCACTTGAACTTAAAAAAGGTAGAAAAGCTGATGACTAATAAGAGGATCATGCTACATGTATCTAAAAATTTTACCTAATCTTTTATATACTACTCACAATATGGGGTGGAGACCACAGCTCGGATTTTTCAAATACACGTGGGGCCCGCGTGTTTTGTGAGAGGAGGGACACGGTTCGATAACCCCCTTCGGTACATATATCTTTTTCCATAATAAGACTGGTTGGAAGAAGAGACGAAGGAAATGATTTGTCCGCATGTACTATATTGATTTATATTTCTTTTTATTTTAGCACAATAGAGTTTTGTCAGTTGATTATTAGTAATATATTAGTTTTTCTTTTTCAGAAAAAAAAAAAATTGGATTAAGCTCGGTGGTCGATATATATAAATCCCCAATGCAGCTACTAGTTTTTTTTTTTTTTTTTTTTTGAAGAATTAAAGTCGCATAGAAGTATGCAAGTAATATTATATTGTGTTGAAAAAATTATTCATTTGCCAGTCAACTAGAGCATAACATTTAGTTAGACCCTTCTACTTTTTTTTCTTGGTTCTGAGCATTGGATGAATTGGTTCAAGTATTTCAATATTAGGAACAACTCATTATACTTCAGGTATTTCATAAACTAAATCATTTGGATCCACATAATTATTGAAACCAAATCCCAACCAGAACCATTGATTCCAATTCGAGTTCAATTCTATCCAAAATACATTTTTTAAGAACAATCATGAGTTGACAATATGAATTATTTTTTCAATATCTAGTAGAAATATAATTAATAAAATATATTAACAAATATATATTTCAATACTTTTTTAATCTAGTGCAAATGTCACCAAATAATATCCAATATCTAGAGGGCGTTTGACACCCATTTTTAAGGAAAAATGAATTTTAGAATAGTAGATTAATGAAGAATGTGTGGATGAAATATTTTTTATTTACGTGTAATATTATTTTAATGAAAAATGTGTGATTGTAAAGAAGAGAGAGAGAGAGAGAGATACATTTTGAAAAAAAATGAAAATCAAACAGGATCCTGATATAATGCCTAATGGTATCCAATTTAGACTATAGCTCTACGTGCGAAGCCTCAAGAAAGGTTTGTAAGATGAAAAACGTGTAATATAAGGTTGAAAGTGACTATGAATTAAAGTAATTCGATTAAATTATTCAATTAAATCACCCTAGGTCTAGCCACTACAAAGCCCTTTACAAGGTCAACACCCATTCTTTATATTCTCTAAGTCACAAGACTAGTTTGTCGAGTTTCTTAAAGATGGACACCAATGAAATTAGTAGGTACTTTGGTTTTTAAACTTTGGGGAATTTTCCAAATAATATGGTAATTCTAAAATTTGACGATTGGGCTATACAGTAATCGGCCCAAGGCCCACTGATGGCAGTGGTCCATTCGCAGATGAATGTCAAAATCCAACAATAAATGCCTCCGTTCTATACCCGCGTTATTCCTGCTACTGGGACGTGGATTGTTGGCTTCACTATCGTCATTCTCCAGTCGGCTCGGCTTAGCAACTCACTAATGGGACCCATTTAGATGAAGCACACGTGAACCCAACGATCTTAGTCACACGTGGCCTCGTGTTATTGGCCAACCAAATACCCCGACACCAAATCAAAAATTGGGACCGTCCATCTGATCAGTTGACATTTTCAAATTTTATTTTAAGAGAGTAGAGATCTAACCCTCACTTTTTAACTGTATTCTTCCAACTTCCCCACAAACAAAGAGTAAATAATAATAATAATAATAAAATATATTAATAGATATTTTGCACCATCTTCATAGAAATTTGATAAACACAATAGACAGTTGATACCACGGTCTGCTTTATTCAACACTATCGCTCTTTTTCCATGAAATCTTTTGGGAAGAAGAATTTCATATAGAACATTAACCATTTCAACAACATTAACACTTTAATACATCTAGAAGATTGTCAAGCACATTCCACAATGCTAAAACGAGTACGAGACAATCTACAATGATTGCGGGGACCTTTGCGTGTTGTCCAATTTAGACACGTCAATGGAACACACACATGCTTCACTTAGGCCCTAGAAAGTAACTAGACTCGTATAATTCAATATCAGATACGTCATCCCAAAACACAATTGACTTTCTCGATCATGTCCTAAACAAGGTCAATTGTATTTCGGGTCCTAAGAGGTCCGTGGAAAGTCTTTTCCCTCACAATGGGAATGGCACGACCCCCAGGAGTAAAGGCTCACACCAGAGAAGACTTTAAAGCAACAATGGAAGTTAAAGCATTAAAGATCCATGAACGCTGCAGATCACAGCAAAATTATGCATGAATACAGTGAATTTGTCAAACAGAGTGGGCTAAAGCAGGACCCCTAAACCGGCCAAAAGCCGATTGTGGGGACTTCTATCCCTGCCAGGATGCCTAGTCACTTTCGTAACATTTTCTAGAAGTAACAGTCCACATCCAGTCCAGTAGTAATCCCATAATTTCCCAGCTGGCTGCCGTCACGGCCGTGATATCAACCCCCCTTCTAAAGCAGACTAAGGTACACAAATAATTCATTCACAGCTTAATGTTAGTTAAGCAGACTATGGGACAGAAATAATTCGTTTGTAATAATATTGATAGATCGCATATGAAACTACATACAATAACTACATGTGGGCATGTGTAGTTCCAGGGACGGGGGCTGCTCTAAATGGAAACCTCCATTCAGAGGCAACGGAGCTTCATAAAGATAGACAAACATGATTGTAAGGTTCCCATTCGGTCCTTAACTGGTACAGAGGAACCAAGATAAACTGAGTGGTGTACGCAAACTCTAAAATTAAACTCTTAAGGGTACTCGACGTGAAATTGCATTTTAAATAAATTTCTCTTCATGAATGTTGAAGAAGGAACAAAGCTTATCCAAATTCAGGGATGCACCTACTTCTAGAACCAAAGGTCAGTTATATAATAAAATCAAGCCTTTGATGCTAATAGATCCATAATAAATAGAAGTCATTCTCATTCAAGACGATAACGTAGATCAAATAAGACAAATATCTATATGCAGTTATATGCTCAAGTCAGGAGTATAGGAGACGATTGTGTTCTCTATATAAGGAAACAAATTTTAGCACTAAAATCATCTATCAACAAAACAAAAGACTTACATTAACATAATAAACATTTACAGAAATTTATGTGCACATATCGAAATAAACAAGTACGGTATTACAGGATAAACCAATATTCACACAAACCAGTGCTAGTAATTCCAATATCTGGAAGCGACCATAAGAATCATAAGACCTTAGTCTAGCCGCAGGACAAGTTGGCAAATCTGCATATTTATTTTCATTCCAGCATAAACATCAGGAATAAAATCACTCAATTTTTCATGATCATGTCACATAAGAGTTTCCAGCTGTTCTAACGGGCTAGCATCTCAACAGGTCTGCATTTGTGACACCTTCCATTGCAGCAATAAGTAGCCAAAACACATATCAAAAGACACCTGGAGCCACCCAATAGTATCACTTGGAAGCTAGAAATACACATCAAATTAGATCAAAATAACCCAATTACTCAAAATCAAGACTGAGAAGCTAACTTTCAAGCAAGAAGCATTCCATTGAAGTTCTGAACCCTATTGTCCAGTACATTGATAGCAAAGATAATAGCACCCGCTACATATACAAGTTCAAAGGTAACAAAAACAAATTTTTTCATCCGAAAACAATCTTCTGGCATGCTTTAGAGATCTGACGAAACATGGTTCATCCAAAAACTGAATGAAGATTATAGAAGTCAAGATATATTTCAATCCACAAAAGAATCAACTTTCAGTCCAACAAAGAAAGTTTTCTCGTCATTTTTACCCATTGCAACTTAAGTCAAATTAAATACAAGCGTGCTTAAGAAGAAACTGTGGAAATCATATTATTAAACCCAAGTTTTTTACAAAAATAATTAAGCCCTTGTTTGAGCCCCATTCTTTTGAAAAAATGCATTTTTCAACAGTATTTTGATATCATTTCAACCACACATTCTTCAATAAAATAATATTATACGCAAATTCAAAAATTTTCCTTATTTTTTATCCACACATTTTCCATCAATAAATTATTCAAAATTCATTCTTTCCACAAAATGGGGCTCAAACAAACGGCCAAGTTAGGATTCGAGGTATTCTCACTCTGAGGATAACAATAATCATACGAAAATTGATATATAAGTATGCTATGTATGAAGTTATATTACCATTGTCCCAAATACAAAAAGATCACCTTCTCCTGTTCAATATCTGCTTCAAAACATCTCTTCCATGTGGTGCAGAGTTTACTCTTTTGATTAGTTTCTTTACTTTGAGCACATAAGAGTTACAACATGAACCTATAAGAGATATTTGTGGGCATATCAAATGTTGTTATTGTAGAGTAAAATAATTGATTTTTAGTTTTGCTAGCTTAGTGCTCCAAAAGATCACAAGGTTCATCGATTAAATACAAAAAACACTCTGTCTGTGAATAAGGTGGTTTCCAAATTAAACCTTAGATTGAAGCAAACCTTCATTACATGCTTCCAACTTCTCCATTTTTTCCTAAAGACTACTAAGTCCAAGGTTCAAATCCAGGTAAGCCTCAAACTTCTCCTAAAATAACACATGCATACTGTAACACTTTTATTTAACCTTACAAAGACTGATCAGAGAAATATTGAGCACAAGAAGAAATTACCTCGACCAACTTCAACCTTTTTATTTAACCAAAATAAGCAAAGTAAATTATGACGGTATACTTATGAATGAATGTCTTAATCTTCAATTTTAATAGAAGGTATATTGATGGAAATTTAAAAAAAAAAAAAAACACTTCCAAAGTTAAAGACTCATTTCAGGATGAATCCATTTCCTGAAGTTTCATTTTTGTTAGTTTAGTGATTTTCCTTGTTTGATTTCAACATTGAGCTCTTGTTTGACAACCATTGTTTCAAAACTCTTTATTTTACATACTCGTTTTTAATAATATATTCACACAATAAAATATTTTGCACATAAACCCAAAAATTTTTCCTACTTTTTAAACACGCATTCTCCAAAAACTTACAATTTAAAACAGAGTTTTTGCCAAATAATGGCCATCAAACTATGGCTAAGTAATCGAGTTCATTGTAAAATGCATGATTGAATATTAAATACAACATCCTGAAATTTTCTCCTCTAGTTCTTCCCCATTCTCCTCTCAAATTCTCTTTGTTTCTTCATCTTCGTCTCTCCTCTTGTCCTTCTCTATATTCTCGGTTTGACATAGTGTGCTGCATCGTATATATCAGCTGACTAGTCTTTTCATCATCAAATTGATCTCTCTGAACGATTTTCATAAAAACATGCCAGTCTTTATCACTGGGATTGTCCATCTAAAATATTAGCTCCATTTGAAATGCAAAGGCAAATGGCTTATCATCCTGCTTTAACCCCTTGCCTTTTAACACCCTATTGCATTCAATGATTCAATCAACACATCTTTGCCACCTCCTTAATCCAACTCAATTATGTCTTTCAAAATCCCAAATTAATTCATCTCTCTTAAGATGGCCACCTATATCAAAATGCACAGAACAAGAATGTAACGTAAAGTAAAAAATATAAGCAACTATGTAAACACACATGGCTAGTAATCTAATTTACCTGTAGGAATTGTTTAAGAAAAGAGATATCTAGTTGAACTTTATTTTATTTAATTTTCTGTAAAATCCACAGCATTCGGTCAGGAGCTTTTAGGTTCCTTTCCAAACGATATCCCCTAACCCTCCATGAATAATAGAAAGGAGTAGTGCATGGAGGGGACATAAAGCCTTACGTCAGGATATACATCAAGAGGATGTAACGAACATTTAAAGCAAGATTCAAACTAGTAAGTATTACTTCTATAACATTTAAAGTAGATAATAGAAATTTTATGAGTTAACATAAGGAACTTGGAGACGGTCTAAAAATATGAGCCCAAACAACTACCCATGAATTTCGGAAGGCTGCAAAACCGTGGAGCACTCTTCTGGACACCAAAATTGGCATGGATTTCAATGAAGTTTTGATTTCCCCAATAACATATTGAGTATTCCAAGCCTCACTAGGCTCTGTGGACACCAATTGAATAGCCACAAGAGAGTCAAGTTCAATCCAAAATTTTTGAACCCCACTTAAGGGTGCTCTTGGCTCCACCTCAACATTAGCGCAATGAGAGTATAGGAGCAGTGTGCCCAAACAACCTGTCTGAGCCACGCCAGCCCCTCACCATCCCCTACTCTGAGGGTTGCCTTTACAACACCCATCCATGTTCACTTCGTACTCTCCCACCAATGGTTTTAGCCAATCATAACAAGCTTATCTAAATTGTGGTGTTTTCTTTGTTTCAACTTAGTTTTCTCGTACTCCACATGAGTTATTCCTATGATAGTTCCATTGAAAAGTTAACTTCCTGGATTATGATTTAGTATGCTGGAATATTGATCATTATAACCAAATAATCTAGCATAGTTTCTATCACAAATCATTAGCTCTAGTTTCGAGCTTCCCATTAGTACCAAATACAAGTCAAACCAAAATTTAGAAGTTAAACCAACCATGTTATGTTGGATAGCTCTAAACTCTTTCTTCTTGACATTCAAGCCAAACACCACATGCACTACATTTTGCATATTCTTACTCAAGCTTTGGTTTAAAATTATGCAAAATGAATCTAAAACAACCCCCTGTTCCAAGGAAATTAAAGGAAAAGTTAAACCAAAAACCCGGGGGTGGGGGGGGTGGGGGGCAATACCAATAGTAAATTATTTTCATTTTTGTTTAAAACATAATTAACCGTAGGCTGCAGAGGAGATTGATACATTCTACATTCGGTTTTCGCATTTTTACAAATTTCTTTTTCGATTTATTCAAAACACTATCTTCTTCAGCACCAAAAATTGACTGACATGAAAACTCCAGAATTAGAAACCCCTAACATTGTACATTATTATCCAATCATAACACGTGAACTCTTGTTTATATATACAATTAGTGCATGTGTATGTGCATAAAATTACCTATGAGATGAAAATTTCAAAATATTGTAAAAGCTAATGATTCTTGAATTCCATCCAATAACAATTAAATACGAATGAAATAGCACCTGAATTTCGATATCCAGAACGTTCACCTAAAGCATTTGACAAATTCCTCAACAATTTCGATGAAACTGCAAAAAAAAAATAAAAAAAACCTCTTTCCGCGGCAGAAACCTTAACAATAAACATAGCTTCAAATATTTCTGACTGAAACCCTACAATATAGACGATTTTTTTTGACAAAAACCTCATCAAATTGACATCCAGATATTCCATCAGAGCTGCTCATCGAAATCCTCAATAATATATAGATAAAACTGCAAATTAACCAAAAAAATAAAAAAATGGATAATTTCTCGACAAAACCTCACTCGAGGATTGAAGTCTCAAAAAAATTTGGACCATTTCTCGATTTGTGCGTGTCATCCTTGCGCAGGGGCCATGCTAATCTTCTCTGTATCGTTCCAATTTTATCGGATGTCCCCGAAGGGACGAAACACCCGTCCCAGCGTTTGCAATATAAACTGGTAAAGAATTCTAGATGTTGTCGATGTGGGAGTTCAACACTTGAGATTCAGTTTGGATAGGACTGGTAAGTTTTTGGGCTCGGGTACCGAGCTTCACTTCTAGTCTCAATTACGGGCCAGGCCTTGTTGATGGGATCGGACCACGAGCTCGGTCCTTACTTATATTTATTGTCTATAATGGATCTTTTGTCTACCTTAAATTTATGGGAAAATTTCATAAGTAAGATATTAATTATGGCACATTTCAAAAATAAGAAAACAAATTTTAAATTTCAAAAATCAGATTTTTATTAAAAATTATTTATCATTTAATTAATTAATTAATTAATTAATTAATTTAGTAATTAAATATATTGAAGTCACGGATTTATATAATTTGGTCACAAATTAACGATTTAATTCGTCACTTATTATTTTTTTGTTACAAATTCGAAATTTTATGTCACAAATTATTTACGATCAAAATTCAAAAAATTTATAGGTCACAGTTTATTCATTGGTTAAAAATAAAAAAATTAAAAGTCACGATTTATTTATTGGTCACAAATCACAAATATTACAAGTTACAACTTCTTATACAATCACAAATTATAAAATTATCGGTCACAGATTAACAATTTTTTAGGTCACACATTATTTTTCGATCAAAATTTATTTTTTTCATTGGTCACATATTACTTATTGGTCACAAATTAACCATTTTAATGATCACAATTAACCAAATAATTTGTGATCACCACCAACACTTACTATTCACAGTCACAATTTTTAGGTCACGTATCCAATTATGAGTCACAGTCACAATTTTCAAGTCACTTATCCAATTGTGAGTCACAAATTAACCAAACCGCCACGACCACCGCCATAACCACCACAACCACCCCCTTTACCAACTGTGACTCCCAAATTGTGAGTGACAATTGGGAGTCACAAACACAATTTTCAGGTCACTGGCCCAATCATTTGTCACAAAATCAACCAAATCGCCACGACTATCACAACCACCATAATCCACCACAGCTACCATCGTCACCACAACCAAGTCAAGCAATTTGCTGGCCACAGACACTATTGATCCACTCGACCAACACCAACATTGTTGCCACCAACACCATACTCCACCGCCTGCACCACATCCAACAACCAAGAAAAAAACAACACCACGATTTGTACCATCAAATCACCATATTCGTCAACCACCACCAAAGCATCAGATCTGCCACCACAAAGTCACCCACCATCTCACCACAACCAGTCAGCAGCCAATACCACTGCACAATAGCACACCCAACCACCGCCCTCTCACAACACCGCAACGCGCACCACTACCTCTCCCACACCCTACGGCACCACACCAGTTCAATACTACCACCACCACACAGCCCACAACACTACACAATCACAGCACACACAACACCACGTCACATCGTCTCTCATGTGTAGATACACGTCGCAATGGCGGTGCGACAGTAGTCATGACTCACTTCGAGTGGCTTCAAGGAGAGGGAGGAACGTGAGGTAGACATGACACCGCTTCACTCCGACGACTACTAGTGGCTTCATTCTGGCGCCGGTGCTCTAAGGTTGAGAGGTTCTCGATGAGACGGTGAATAGAATTGTTGATAGGTGAGGCGGTGAAGTGAGGGTTTGATAGGTGAGGCGACGAGGTGAGGGTCTGATGGTTTACAGAGAGAGAGTCCGCGAGGAGAGGGTTTAGAGAGAGAGTTTGGTAGAAAATGAATAAATTTGGGTTTGAAATTATTATTTATTAGATTAATTTTTAAATATATTAATTAATTAAAAAAATTTCTGATTTGTGAAATATTAACCATGGTATTTTATTTATGAAATGGGGATTTTTAATCTATTAGAATGTGTAATTTCCACTAAATTTATTTAGAAATTTTTAATGATGATTGGACCGTTTATTGCATTATAATAAATCTTTACATTACATTATTTTAAATAAAGCAAAGTGTCCTTATCAAAAAAAAAATATATATATTTCTATAATATATAAAAATATAATAAATCATACATATGTACGTTTTAAATAATTCAATGAAGCTGATTGAAAACACGGAATAAAGTTTAAGTTTCTTTTTTCAGTATAAAATTTGGATCGATTTTATTAATTTTAAATCAATATTCTAAAAAGCTCGTCAATCGTCTAAACTCAAAGCGAGGCATTTTCAAGCAAAATGTCTCGCTTCGAGCCTAAACACTTTCTTTTCGAGGTTGTAGTGCGGGAGTCACTACGATTTCTATACGGTGTCCTAGTCACTAATTCATAATCCCGAACGAAAGAGTAAGCGTGGTCGAAGAAGAGAGGGAAGAAGAGAGGGGAGACGGCTGCAAAACCAACTTTTTATTTAATCAAAATTCATCAACTACTGAATTACAAACCAATGATAGGTTTAAATAATGAAAACCTAGAAATATAGGGCCAAGCCCATTATTTAAGTCCTAATTAAAATACGTAAACTTAAATAAAAGTCCAACTGAAACAATAATAAAAGTCCAACTAAAATACTGAAACAATAATAAAAGTCCAACTATAAGGATGTCCTCATCACAAAGCTTATCCAAATTCAGGGATGCACCTACTTCTAGAACCAAAGGTCAGTTATATAATAAAATCAAGCCTTTGATGCTAATAGATCCATAATAAATAGAAGTCATTCTCATTCAAGACGATAACGTAGATCAAATAAGACAAATATCTATATGCAGTTATATGCTCAAGTCAGGACTATAGGAGACGATTGTGTTCTCTATATAAGGAAACAAATTTTAGCACTAAAATCATCTATCAACAAAACAAAAGACTTACATTAACATAATAAACGTTTACGGAAATTTATGTGCACATATCGAAATAAACAAGTACGGTATTACAGGATAAACCAATATTCACACAAACCAGTGCTAGTAATTCCAATATCTGGAAGCGACCATAAGAATCATAAGACCTTAGTCTAGCCGCAGGACAAGTTGGCAAATCTGCATATTTATTTTCATTCCAGCATAAACATCAGGAATAAAATCACTCAATTTTTCATGATCATGTCACATAAGAGTTTCCAGCTGTTCTAACGGGCTAGCATCTCAACAGGTCTGCATTTGTGACACCTTCCATTGCAGCAATAAGTAGCCAAAACACATATCAAAAGACACCTGGAGCCACCCAATAGTATCACTTGGAAGCTAGAAATACACATCAAATTAGATCAAAATAACCCAATTACTCAAAATCAAGACTGAGAAGCTAACTTTCAAGCAAGAATCATTCCATTGAAGTTCTGAGCCCTATTGTCCAGTACATTGATAGCAAAGATAATAGCACCCGCTACATATACAAGTTCAAAGGTAACAAAAACAAATTTTTTCATCCGAAAACAATCTTCTGGCATGCTTTAGAGATCTGACGAAACATGGTTCATCCAAAAACTGAATGAAGATTATAGAAGTCAAGATATATTTCAATCCACAAAAGAATCAACTTTCAGTCCAACAAAGAAAGTTTTCTCGTCATTTTTACCCATTGCAACTTAAGTCAAATTAAATACAAGCGTGCTTAAGAAGAAACTGTGGAAATCATATTATTAAACCCAAGTTTTTTACAAAAATAATTAAGCCCTTGTTTGAGCCCCATTCTTTTGAAAAAATGCATTTTTCAACAGTATTTTGATATCATTTCAACCACACATTCTTCAATAAAATAATATTATACGCAAATTCAAAAATTTTCCTTATTTTTTATCCACACATTTTCCATCAATAAATTATTCAAAATTCATTCTTTCCACAAAATGGGGCTCAAACAAACGGCCAAGTTAGGATTCGAGGTATTCTCACTCTGAGGATAACAATAATCATACGAAAATTGATATAAGTATGCTATGTATGAAGTTATATTACCATTGTCCCAAATACAAAAAGATCACCTTCTCCTGTTCAATATCTTCTTCAAAACATCTCTTCCATGTGGTGCAGAGTTTACTCTTTTGATTAGTTTCTTTACTTTGAGCACATAAGAGTTACAACATGAACATATAAAAGATATTTGTGGGCATATCAAATGTTGTTATTGTAGAGTAAAATAATTGATTTTTAGTTTTGCTAGCTTAGTGCTCCAAAAGATCACAAGGTTCATCGATTAAATACAAAAAACACTCTGTCTGTGAATAAGGTGGTTTCCAAATTAAACCTTAGATTGAAGCAAACCTTCATTACATGCTTCCAACTTCTCCATTTTTTCCTAAAGACTACTAAGTCCAAGGTTCAAATCCAGGTAAGCCTCAAACTTCCCCTAAAATAACACATGCATACTGTAACACTTTTATTTAACCTTACAAAGACTGATCAGAGAAATATTGAGCACAAGAAGAAATTACCTCGACCAACTTCAACCTTTTTATTTAACCAAAATAAGCAAAGTAAATTATGATGGTATACTTATGAATGAATGTCTTAATCTTCAATTTTAATAGAAGGTATATTGATGGGAAAAAAAAATAAAAAATAAAAAATAACTTCCAAAGTTAAAGACTCATTTCAGGATGAATCCATTTCCTGAAGTTTCATTTTTGTTAGTTTAGTGATTTTCCTTGTTTGATTTCAACATTGAGCTCCTGTTTGACGACCATTGTTTCAAAACTCTTTATTTTACATACTCGTTTTTAATAATATATTCACACAATAAAATATTTTGCATATAAACCCAAAAATTTTTCCTACTTTTTAAACACGCATTCTCTAAAAACTTACAATTTAAAACAGAGTTTTTGCCAAATAATGGCCATCAAACTATGGCTAAGTAATCGAGTTCATTGTAAAATGCATGATTGAATATTAAATACAACATCCTGAAATTTTCTCCTCTAGTTCTTCCCCATTCTCCTCTCAAATTCTCTTTGTTTCTTCATCTTCGTCTCTCCTCTTGTCCTTCTCTATATTCTCGGTTTGACATAGTGTGCTGCATCGTATATATCAGCTGACTAGTCTTTTCATCATCAAATTGATCTCTCTGAACGATTTTCATAAAAACATGCCAGTCTTTATCACTGGGATTGTCCATCTAAAGTATTAGCTCCATTTGAAATGCAAAGGCAAATGGCTTATCGTCCTGCTTTAACCCCTTGCCTTTTAACACCCTATTGCATTCAATGATTCAATCAACACATCTTTGCCACCTCCTTAATCCAACTCAATTATGTCTTTCAAAATCCCAAATTAATTCATCTCTCTTAAGATGGCCACCTATATCAAAATGCACAGAACAAGAATGTAACGTAAAGTAAAAAATATAAGCAACTATGTAAACACACATGGCTAGTAATCTAATTTACCTGTAGGAATTGTTTAAGAAAAGAGATATCTAGTTGAACTTTATTTTATTTAATTTTCTGTAAAATCCACAGCATTCGGTCAGGAGCTTTTAGGTTCCTTTCCAAACGATATCCCCTAACCCTCCATGAATAATAGAAAGGAGTAGTGCATGGAGGGGACATAAAGCCTTACGTCAGGATATACATCAAGAGGATGTAACGAACATTTAAAGCAAGATTCAAACTAGTAAGTATTACTTCTATAACATTTAAAGTAGATAATAGAAATTTTATGAGTTAACATAAGGAACTTGGAGACGGTCTAAAAATATGAGCCCAAACAACTACCCATGAATTTCGGAAGGCTGCAAAACCGTGGAGCACTCTTCTGGACACCAAAATTGGCATGGATTTCAATGAAGTTTTGATTTCCCCAATAACATATTGAGTATTCCAAGCCTCACTAGGCTCTGTGGACACCAATTGAATAGCCACAAGAGAGTCAAGTTCAATCCAAAATTTTTGAACCCCACTTAAGGGTGCTCTTGGCTCCACCTCAACATTAGCGCAATGAGAGTATAGGAGCAGTGTGCCCAAACAACCTGTCTGAGCCACGCCAGCCCCTCACCATCCCCTACTCTGAGGGTTGCCTTTACAACACCCATCCATGTTCACTTCGTACTCTCCCACCAATGGTTTTAGCCAATCATAACAAGCTTATCTAAATTGTGGTGTTTTCTTTGTTTCAACTTAGTTTTCTCGTACTGCACATGAGTTATTCCTATGATAGTTCCATTGAAAAGTTAACTTCCTGGATTATGATTTAGTATGCTGGAATATTGATCATTATAACCAAATAATCTAGCATAGTTTCTATCACAAATCATTAGCTCTAGTTTCGAGCTTCCCATTAGTACCAAATACAAGTCAAACCAAAATTTAGAAGTTAAACCAACCATGTTATGTTGGATAGCTCTAAACTCTTTCTTCTTGACATTCAAGCCAAACACCACATGCACTACATTTTGCATATTCTTACTCAAGCTTTGGTTTAAAATTATGCAAAATGAATCTAAAACAACCCCCTGTTCCAAGGAAATTAAAGGAAAAGTTAAACCAAAAACCCGGGGGTGGGGGGGGTGGGGGGCAATACCAATAGTAAATTATTTTCATTTTTGTTTAAAACATAATTAAACGTAGGCTGCAGAGGAGATTGATACATTCGGTTTTCGCATTTTTACAAATTTCTTTTTCGATTTATTCAAAACACTATCTTCTTCAGCACCAAAAATTGACTGACATGAAAACTCCAGAATTAGAAACCCCTAACATTGTACATTATTATCCAATCATAACACGTGAACTCTTGTTTATATATACAATTAGTGCATGTGTATGTGCATAAAATTACCTATGAGATGAAAATTTCAAAATATTGTAAAAGCTAATGATTCTTGAATTCCATCCAATAACAATTAAATACGAATGAAATAGCACCTGAATTTCGATATCCAGAACGTTCACCTAAAGCATTTGACAAATTCCTCAACAATTTCGATGAAACTGCAAAAAAAAAATAAAAAAAACCTCTTTCCGCGGCAGAAACCTTAACAATAAACATAGCTTCAAATATTTCTGACTGAAACCCTACAATATAGACGATTTTTTTTGACAAAAACCTCATCAAATTGACATCCAGATATTCCATCAGTGCTGCTCATCGAAATCCTCAATAATATATAGATAAAACTGCAAATTTTCCAAAAAAAAAAAAAGGATAATTTCTCCACAAAACCGCACTCGAGGATTGAAGTTTCAAAAAAATTTGGACCATTTCTCGATTTGTGCGTGTCATCCTTGCGCAGGGGCCATGCTAATCTTCTCTGTATCGTTCCAATTTTATCGGATGTCCCCGAAGGGACGAAACGGTCTTGTTAGCGTTTGCAATATAAACTGGTAAAGAATTCTAGATGTTGTCGATGTGGGAGTTCAACACTTGAGATTCAATTTGAATAGGACTGGTAAGTTTTTGGGCTCGGGTACTCAATTACGGGCCAGGCCTTGTTGATGGGATTGGACCACGAGCTCGGTCCTTATTTATATTTATTGTCTATAATGGATCTTTTGTCTACCTTAAATTTATGGGAAAATTTCATAAGTAAGATATTAATTATGGCACATTTCAAAAATAAGAAAATAAGTTTTAAATTTCAAAAATCAGATTTTTATTAAAAATTATTTATCATTTAATTAATTAAATAATTAATTTAGTAATTAAATATATTGAAATCACGGATTTATATAATTTGGTTACAAATTAACGATTTAATTCATCACTTATTATTTTTTTGTTACAAATTCGAAATTTTATGTCACAAATTATTTACGATCAAAATTCAAAAAATTTATAGGTCACAGTTTATTCATTGGTTAAAAAAAAAAAATTAAAAGTCACGATTTATTTATTGGTCACAAATCACAAATATTACAAGTCACAACTTCTCATACAATCACAAATTATAAAATTATCGGTCACAGATTAACAATTTTTTAGGTCACAAATTATTTTTCGATCACAATTTATTTTTTTCATTGGTCACATATTACTTATTGATCACAAATTAACCATTTTAATGATCACAATTAACCAAATAATTTGTAACCACCACCAACACTTACTATTCACAGTCACAATTTTTAGGTCACATATCCAATTATGAGTCACAGTCACAATTTTCAAGTCATTTATCTAATTGTGAGTCACAAATCAACCAAACCGCCATGGCCACCACAACCACCTCCTTTACCAACTGTGACTCCCAAATTGTGAGTGACAATTGGGAGTCACAAACACAATTTTCAGGTCACTGGCCCAATTATTTGTCACAAAATCAACCAAATCGCCACGACTATCACAACCACCATAATCCACCACAACTACTATCGTCACCACAACCAAGTCAAGCAATTTACTGGCCACAGACACTATTGATCCACTCGGCCAACACCAACATTGCTGCCACCAACACCATACTCCACCGCCTGCACCGCATCCAACAACCAAGAAAAAAACAACACCACGATCTGTACCATCAAATCACCATATTCGTCAACCACCACCAAAGCATCAGATCTGCCACCACAAAGTCACCCACCATCTCACCACAACCAGTCAGCAACCAATACCACTGTACAATAGCACACCCAACCACCGCCCTCTCACAACACCGCAACGCGCACCACTACCTTTCCCACACCCTACGGCACCACACCAGTTCAATACTACCACCACCACACAGCCCACAACACTACACAATCATAGCACACACAGCACCACGTCACATCGTCTCTCACGTCTAGATACACGTCGCAATGGCGGTGCGACAGTAGTCATGACTCACTTCGAGTGGCTTCAAGGAGAGGAGGAACGTGAGGTAGACATGACACCGCTTCACTCCGAAGACTACTAGTGGCTTCATTCCGGCGCCGGTGCTCTAAGGTTGAGAGGTTCTCGGTGAGACGGTGAATAGAATCGTTGATAGGTGAGGCGGTGAAGTGAGGGTTTCATAGGCGAGGCGGCGAGGTGAGGGTCTGATGGTTTACAGAGAGAGAGTCGGCGAGGTGAGGGTTTAGAGAGAGTTTGGTAGAAAATGAATAAATTTGGGTTTGAAATTATTATTTATTAGATTAATTTTTAAATATATTAATTAATTAAAAAAATTTCTGATTTGTGAAATATTAACCATGGCATTTTATTTATGAAATGAGGATTTTTAATCTATTAGAATGTGTAATTTCCACTAAATTTATTTAGAAATTTTTAATGATGACTGGACCGTTTATTGCATTATAATAAATCTTTACATTACATTATTTTAAATAAAGCAAAGTGTCCTTATCAAAAAAAAATATATTTCTATAACTTATAAAAATATAATAAATCATACATATGTACGTTTTAAATAATTTAATAAAGCTGATTGAAAACACGGAATAAAGTTTAAGTTTCTTTTTTCAGTATAAAATTTGTATCGATTTTATTAATTTTAAATCAATATTCTAAAAAGCTCGTCAATCGTCTAAACTCAAAGCGAGGCATTTTCAAGCAAAATGTCTCGCTTCGAGCCTAAACACTTTCTTTTCTTTCTTTTTAATTTCTAAATGGTTGAATCTTTGCGACTTATCTTTCTTCTTCCATATGCGCTCTTTATTAGTTTTTTTATTTTTTCTTTTAAAAGTCTTCTATTTGGCCTTTTTTTATTATTTAAAAAAAAACTTTTCATTTGACTTTAATTTCAAGATTTTAAAAGATTTTATCAGTATTAAAGTTAAAAATTACTTTATCCAATAAATAGTTAAATAAGATTTAATGTACGATGCTATCTACATAATGTAATTATGATCTTGAACCCGTTATTCTGTTGAAAAATTCGAAAGCATATATATAATTCATATAAATTTATTAAGTAAAACTTGTATAATTGAAATTTGAAATTATGAAAAAATAGTCTAATTTTTGAAATTCGAAAACTTCAATATTGTATAATTGACTAATAGTATAAATTATTAAGTAAGTATAATATTTTATAATTTTATTCGTTTGATATGTATTATTTTAATTATTGAATAATTTTTAAAACAATTAAAAATTAAACAAAATATTAAAAATAGGAAAAGGCTTTTTTAAACCTAAGCCCTTAAACATGTAAAGCTTGAAGTTTCGCCTTCGAACCTATCCACGCTTTACGTTTTTTAGAATAATATTTTAAAAACAAAAGAACCATTTTGAACAATTTATATTTCTGAGAAAAGATGATAAAAAATAAATAAATAAATAAATAAAAAGCCTTTTAAACCTGAAATGGTGCTCTTAATTGTTTTCCAAAATAACATGTATTTGTGTCGATTTGTTAGTTAAACGGTAAATTTATCAAGCAATTTGTTGAAAATTTATCAAGTAAATTTATCAAAAAAGTAGTAACAAAATTTATCAAGCAAAAGCCATACACATGAAGCCTTTGTTTGTCAATCATTTTATCACATTATTTTTTTCTACTGTACTCATTTTCAACCACTTATTCTTCATTAAAATAATATTATACATAAATCACAAAACTTTTCTTTTGTTTTAACCACACATTTGAACATCAATCACTATTTTATAATACACTTTTTGAAATTAAGAAGGTACAAACAAGCCCTAAGGTAATAAACACTGGTGAAAATAGGACTGTGCAGGGATTACAGGCTCAGCATTAACAAGGCATCCTATAGATATCTCACAATGGGTGGGATCAGTATTTTTTTTATTTTTTTTTTGCCATTTTTTATTACAATGAGGTCCCGCGTGGACGCGACCCCCATGGGAGTGCCATGTAGGAGACCTGTAAGTTGCTGCCCAGCCTGCCCTGTACACCCAGTTTGATTGGTGCTCATATTTCAATAAACAAGAATGGTAAACCAATATTCACACAAAGGAGTGCTAGCAATTCCAATATCTTGCCACAGCCCACAACACTACACAATCATAGCACACACAGCACCACGTCACATCGTCTCTCACGTCTAGATACACGTCGCAATGGCGGTGCGACAGTAGTCATGACTCACTTCGAGTGGCTTCAAGGAGAGGAGGAACGTGAGGTAGACATGACACCGCTTCACTCCGAAGACTACTAGTGGCTTCATTCCGGCGCCGGTGCTCTAAGGTTGAGAGGTTCTCGGTGAGACGGTGAATAGAATCGTTGATAGGTGAGGCGGTGAAGTGAGGGTTTCATAGGCGAGGCGGCGAGGTGAGGGTCTGATGGTTTACAGAGAGAGAGTCCGCGAGGAGAGGGTTTAGAGAGAGAGTTTGGTAGAAAATGAATAAATTTGGGTTTGAAATTATTATTTATTAGATTAATTTTTAAATATATTAATTAATTAAAAAAATTTCTGATTTGTGAAATATTAACCATGGCATTTTATTTATGAAATGAGGATTTTTAATCTATTAGAATGTGTAATTTCCACTAAATTTATTTAGAAATTTTTAATGATGACTGGACCGTTTATTGCATTATAATAAATCTTTACATTACATTATTTTAAATAAAGCAAAGTGTCCTTATCAAAAAAAAATATATTTCTATAACTTATAAAAATATAATAAATCATACATATGTACGTTTTAAATAATTTAATAAAGCTGATTGAAAACACGGAATAAAGTTTAAGTTTCTTTTTTCAGTATAAAATTTGTATCGATTTTATTAATTTTAAATCAATATTCTAAAAAGCTCGTCAATCGTCTAAACTCAAAGCGAGGCATTTTCAAGCAAAATGTCTCGCTTCGAGCCTAAACACTTTCTTTTCTTTCTTTTTAATTTCTAAATGGTTGAATCTTTGCGACTTCTCTTTCTTCTTCCATATGCGCTCTTTATTAGTTTTTTTATTTTTTCTTTTAAAAGTCTTCTATTTGGCTTTTTTTTATTATTTAAAAAAAACTTTTCATTTGACTTTAATTTCAAGTTTTTAAAAGATTTTATCAGTATTAAAGTTAAAAATTACTTTATCCAATAAATAGTTAAATAAGATTTAAGGTACGATGCTATCTACATAATGTAATTATAATCTTGAACCCATTATTCTGTTGAAAAATTCGAAAGCATATATAAAATTCATATAAATCTATTAAGTAAGACTTGTTAAATTGAAATTTGAAATTATGAAAAAATAGTCTAATTTTTGCAATTCGAAAACTTCAATATTGTATAATTGACTAATACTATAAATTATTAAGTATAATATTTTATAATTTTATTCGTTTGATATGTATTATTTTAATTATTGAATAATTTTTAAAACAATTAAAAATTAAACAAAATATTAAAAATAGGAAAAGGCTTTTTTAAACATAAGCCCTTAAACATGTAAAGCTTGAAGTTTCGCCTCCGAACCTATCCACGCTTTACGTTTTTTAGAATAATATTTTAAAAACAAAAGAACCATTTTGAACAATTTATATTTCTGAGAAAAGATGATAAAAAAAAAATAAATAAATAAATAAATAAAAAGCCTTTTAAACCTGAAATGGTGCTCTTAATTGTTTTCCAAAATAACATGTATTTGTGTCGATTTGTTAGTTAAACGGTAAATTTATCAAGCAATTTGTTGAAAATTTATCTAGTAAAATTATCAAAAAAGTAGTAACAAAATTTATCAAGCAAAAGCCATACACATGAAGCCTTTGTTTGTCAACCATTCTATCACATTATTTTTTTCTACTATACTCATTTTCAACCACTTATTTTTCATTAAAATAATATTATACATAAATCCCAAAACTTTTCTTTTGTTTTAATCACACATTTGAACATCAATCACTATTTTATAATACACTTTTTGAAATTAAGAAGGTACAAACAAGCCCTAAGGTAATAAACACTGGTGGAAAGTTGGGATTACAGGCTCAGCATTAACAGGGCATCCTATAGATATCTCACAATGGGTGGGATCATTAATTTATTTTTATTTTTTGCCATTTTTTATTACAATGAGGTCCCGCGTGGACCCGACCCCCATGGGAGTGCCATGTAGGAGACCTGTAAGTTGCTGCCCAGCCTGCCCTGTACACCCAGTTTGATTGGTGCTCATATTTCAATAAACAAGAATGGTAAACCAATATTCACATAAAGGAGTGCTAGCAATTCCAATATCTTGCCATGACTTTAGTGCAGTCCAGAAGAATATAGGCAAATCTGCATATTTATTTTCATCCAAGCAAAAACATCAGAAGTAAAGAGAGTCACAGTCGATTAACTGCCCCAAAGGAATGATCACTCAATTTTTCATGACCATGGCTAGCATCTCTATATAGATGACATTGTGAAATTTCTAGGCATCTCAGGTTCTATTCACGACGTCTTCTAGTGTCGCAATAAGCCGAAATTCAAACTTGAAGACACTTGAAGCCAACTGATAGACCTTTTTATGAAGGTAAAGTAAATCCCCCATATTGTTTGGAAGCTAGAAATGCAAGTCAAATAAAATAACCCACTCAATCACAATCAAGACTAAGAATCTAACATGCAACCAAGAATCATTCCATTGAAGTTCCGAACATAGAATCTAGTACATCGATAGCATATGCTACGTATACAAGTTCACAGGTAACAAAATCAAAATTTCTCGTGCAAAAACAATCTTATGATATGCTTTAGAGATCTGAAGAAACATGATTCAACCAAAAACTAAACAAGATTACAGAAATCAGGACACAGTTCAATCCACAAAAGAATCCTTAACTTTCAATCCAACCAAGAAAGTTTCCTCATCCATAACTTTCAGTCCAATCATTAGTTACATTACCATCGTACTAAGGCCTTAACATTGTACACCATTATCCAATCTTAACACGAGAAAATCTTGTTTATACATACGGTGAGTCGTGTGCATATGAGATGAAAATTTCGAAATATCAATAAAAGCTAAAGAATCTTGAATTTGGAGTATGTTTGGCCAGCAGGAAATCGAACCCATCCAATAACAATTAAATACAAAAGACATATAGATCCTGAATTTCTACATCTTCAGTAGAGCCTCAGGCATCACACGAAGACCTCAATAATTTCGATGAAACTGCAAATCAAAACAATAATTCGCGACAGTAACCTTGATAATAAAACGAAGCTTCAATTTTGTTTGCCTGAATTTCTCCATCCATAAGGTACATTAAGAATCACCCAACAAAACAACCTCAAGAATTCGATTAAGCTTCAACAATTTAGGTGAAAATGCAAATAAAAATAATAATAATAATAATAAAAGGGGATCATCCTTCAAAGCAAACCCTAACAATTTAGAAGAATTGTTCACGAAAAACCTTATCAAATTGGACAACCCAGAAGATCCATAAGAGTCGCTTGCCTAAAGTATCCTCAGTGATTTAGATAAAACTGCAAATTAACTAAAAATAAAAATAAAAATAAAGGATAATTTCTCCACAAAAACCTCCCTCGAGGATCAAAGTCCCAAAAAAATTTGGACCATTTCTCGATTTGTGCGTGTCATCCTTGCGCAGGGATGCGTTTCCACGGTGCTCGTTTTTCCAATTATGAAGCGTGGGCTAATCTTCTCTGTATCGTTCCAATTTTATCGGATGTCCCCGAAGGGACGAAACGCAGTTTACAGCTTCTAGAATATAAAATGATAAAGAATTTTGTGTTTGGTCGATGTGGGACTAAATAGTTAAGATTTAGTTCGAATACGACTAGAAAGGCTGTGGGCTCGGCTTCTTATTCAGGGGCGCCACATGGGCCTGTAACCAAAATTCTGGCTAAATTATCCGTTTGAGTAGTTTTATTGTCGTCCCAATTCTGGTCTGAGCCTTGTTGATGGGATTGGACACTTGCGATTAATTTAAAATTAATTTTTGCATTATTATATTATTTTTTGGATGATTTTAAACTTATTACAAGCCAAATATTTCAATAATACTATACTTTTTATTTTTCAATATGTAATAAAATTGTCATGTAAGAATTTCGTGTTATTAATTCTGAATTAATTGACATTTACATTAATCTAAACTCAACGAATCTTGACCTGATGAATTTTGATTTACATAAATTTAGAATTATTATAGATGAATTTATTTCTATTCACGTATCTGAAAATTCTAATGAGAGTTTAAATTCATATACTAACAATTAATTTTTATATATCAAATGTAGTATAAAAATGTTGTTCATATGTAATATTTTATCATCAAAAAGGTTGAATCATAGAAGTTGAGTTTTGACTATACAATTTTCTTATCTTAAATTTTTATTCAAATTTTATTTTCTATAATTTGTTTGAAACTCATCAAATCTTCTAAACAAATTGATATCAAGTATTACTTATACAATACTTATAAAATATTTTAGAATAATGCATAATACATGTTTAACTTTGACTAGTATATATATATATATATAAAGATTGGGATGGCATTAATTTCAATTACGATGGCATACGAGAAAATTTTGTAGCGATGGTTATTGTCAATGCAAACTATTTAGTCATTGTTTGATGATCATTCTTTTGAAAAATGATTTTTTAAATATTGATTTTTTGAAAAATGTGAGATTAAAAAATAAGAAAAAATGAATTTATGTGTAAAATATTTTATTGTGTGAATATGTGTTAAAAATCAGTATGAGAACAAAAGAGTTTTATTTTAAATGAAAACAAAATGATCACACGTTTTAGTCATACACAATTTTCATCAACTTTTAATCATACATTTCATATGATCCACTAACTTTTATTAACGTTATTTGCTAAAATCTTACATCAAACAAGCACAAAATCTCACGGGACTTTCAAGTAATTTAAAACTAAACATTAAGTGATTTGACAATTTTTTTTCATTAAATTTTATATAGTGTTAAATTCTCATGAAATTTGAACCTCTATATTCACAGTCTTAATTACGAAAGGACCTAGATTCACTCATTGAAATAGCTTAAGAACCGACCTATAAATTTCCTAACATATTAATTAATACAGAAAATAACAAGATAAAAAGGTGATATTTTTTTGGTGGAAAACTTGGTTATTGCAAAGGTAAGTTGATGGCGATCTTTAACAGATTTTTCGTTAAAAGATTGGCCAAATTTAACGTAGTAGCAGACGTGGTTACAACTTCACCATTTGGTTTCTGCAGCTGTTTCTGCGTTGCCATTGAATTCGCAGGGCATGGAATGGAATTTGGAGGGAGATAATTGAATACAAAGACTCAGTCTACTGTCCCATTCATTTCTTTTTCAGGCCCCTAATTTTGACCCCTAAAATCATTTTTTATCGTTCTAGATTCTGAGGCGACCCTCTTCTTTCGCTGATCCTGATATATCTCCTCTATCCATCTCCTACCTTATATGATATTGATACTCTCTGTTTTTAAGCGCTCCATTTTCTTGTGTGTTTTCAGTTAAAAGATTTGGTTTATTGTCTTCCAAGATGGCCTGATTTTCGTTGAAGTGAGATTTTTTTGGGGTCTGCCTTTTGAGTTTCTGCTTGAAATGTTGGATTTCTTGGAATAATGCACCTTGAATGGGTTGCTTATGAATTTCCTGTGTAGTTCTAAGCTCTACTGTTCTCTGGTTTTCCATTCTCAATTTCAAAATTTGATCTCTATACATTCTTAATGTTGGGTGCTTGGAAATTGTTTTTCGAACTGAAATAATTGTTCCTTTGTGGTGGAGTAATTATATCATTCCCATACTTTTTGTTGCAATTTTGAACTGTTCCAATTGGTGCTGGTAAGCATTCTTGGAAATAAGATAATTGTTTAAATTAGAGGGAATATTTCTTGTTGAAAGAAGTGGGATTTTATCAGTTGAAGCATTGTGAAATTATAGGATGAAAAGTGGGAGAGATGAAGGAAAATCAATGGATCCTCTATTCCCTAGGCTTCATATTAGTGATGCATATAAAGGAGGGCCAAGGGCACCTCCAAGGAACAAGATGGCTCTCTATGAACAGTTTAGTGTATCCTCTCAAAGTCCGAGGTTCACCTCTGGATCAATGACAATGCTGCCTCTTCCTACTGGTAGTGGTGGTAGTAGCTTCTTTCCAAAAGCATCCTCGGGCCAAGTGAGTTGGATAAGTTGCTACAACTTCTGCTTTCTCGTATTATTTCACCTTTACTTTGATTGAGTATATTTATTTTAGGAACATTATGTTTGAAATATCATGCTTAAACTGCAAACTGTAACTGAACTTTTTCGTGCATTTGCGTTCCTACAGAGCATGTACTGTATGCACTACTAGGCATGACTGGACAACGGACAAAATTTTAGCTTCTTTTTTCGTCCATGAATGTTTAGTCTTTTGTAACAAACAAGCCACGGAAGTACGGTTAATACCTTATATAATTTCATTGGCACAGCTCCATTTATTTCCCTCAAAAAAGTCATGTCAGTCCTCTATTAATCATCATCAGAAAAAGTTTGAACCATGACAATTCACAAACAATCTCTTTGTAAGACTATGAATTTTCTTATATCGAAGAATCGAATTACATTTCACGTGTTCACAGCTTACACGCTAATTATTTATTTGCTTCATTTCTTCATAGCTTAAGAGAAATTACATAAATTTGTCAATTTGTCTGACAGTATGAAGTTGTTCAGCTTTTGCCTCAAAAGAATGCTTGTCATGGTTAAGTTTGCTTCATACGGTTTGAAGCAAGATTCATCTTCTGCGATATTTACGTTTTTCTGATTTAAAAAGCTCACAAAGTAAGAGTCTTGAAAATGACAATGTAATTGAGTGCTGCTTGAATTAATCTCTACTGTCTTTACCTAAATTGTCTGAAATGACTACAGGTTGGTGGTTTCCAGAAGACGGTAGTTCCTACATTCTGTAGCTTGCCAGGATCTTCTCTCTCTATGGAAAGATATCCTTCTTATCAGCCTGTAGGAGTAAATTTGAATATGGCATTAACGAATACTGAACCGCAAAAATTGGTGCCAAAGAATAATCAAAGTTCAAATGCTTCGGGGAGTTCAATGCTGACAGCCGCGCGTAACTTGTCTTTGCCACGCGGTTTCTCCGGTAATGAGAACTGTTGCATGAAGAAGCCTGGAGATGAAAATGATATTAGAGTACCGCCTTTTATGCAATCGGAGATAACTCTTGACTATGGTAACCTTCAGTCGCATTTGGATAAAGAAAAAGTCACTGCCTTCAACTCAATCTCTTTAGGGAAACTCCAAGCTTCTAGCTTAAAACTGCCACAGGAGGCAGGCAGTGCAGATGGGAGATCAAGGGAACATCAGAGGAATCAAACTGAGAAAGACGATAAACTATTGTATACCATTGAGCACAATTCTGAGAAGCCTATTCATATTTTGTCAATGGGAGAGAAGAGTTTGGCTGATGCAGCTTCAAGTCCTCGAGCCGGAGATAAAGTCTTCGAGCCCGGTTACAGGTCACTCAAATCTATAAATCAGGACAAGAAAATCGGTTCGGTGAATGAGGTAATCAGATCCCACGAGCCTTGTGCACAGACATATCAAGTGTGTAAAGTTGTCCAAGAAGGCAAGGCTACTAAAGATGATATACACAGTGTGACCGAAATGACCACGAGAAAGAGAAGTGCTTCTGCAATGGATGATTCATCACATTCCACTCCACTACTTGAAGATAGTAATATAAGGCTGATTAATCTTGAATCTGTTAACGAGTGTTCCAAAAATAAGGATATTAGGTCCTCAAAGGTAGGAAATGTTGACAGAAAGCTGGGTATTTCCGTGACATCAGAGGCTGGCCCTTTACCAGCTCTCAATTTAGCTCCTGATGATGTAGTTGAAGCTATAGGTCTAGAATTATTCTGGAAAGCAAGAAGAACGATTGCAGAGTAAGTATCTCTAACGCGGTTTATGCTACGAAGACTTGCATTGATCTTTCCCTGAAAATAAGAACTGTTAATTTGTGAATTCTTTAATATAATTTGAATCTGATGGCATGCGATAAGCATTTACTTAATTCTATGTTATCCACAATTTTAAGGCCTCTGCCGCCAGGATTTATAAATAATTTAAATGGTTATGCTTCTTCATATGCTGTTAAACTCACCCTATTCAGCTTTTTGCAGTCAGCAAAGAATTTTTTCTGTGCAAATATTCGAGTTACATAGACTGATACAGGCAAGTTTGGCTATATGATGTTTATGGGAATTTATATTCAGGATATCATTACATTAATTTCTGGTAATACTTTTAACAGGTTCAGAGATCTATAGCTGGATCACCCGAAGTGTTGTACAAAAACATCTATTTGGGCAAACCACCTATCAAATTTCCTTCTATGAATAAGCTACTGCCCAAGAATGTCCCAGAACCACCCCCAACATTTGCTAAACCAAAAATCAATCCTCAAAAGTTGAATCCCTCCAACTATCACGGAGCAGAGGCTGTATGTGGGACCAACAAAGGTAATCTTGCTCAGAAGTCAATGCATAAGCGTACGCCAACATCGTTATTAACAGACATCGACGCTAAATTGGCACCTTGGTGTTTCCATCCTCCGTCAGGATATCAGTGGTTAGTTCCTGTACGATCTCCTACACAGGGACTTATTTACAGGCCATATATGGGGCTATGTCCTCCAACTGTTGGTTACATGGCACCAGTTTATGGAAATTGTGGGCCTCTTAGCTTAAGTGCAGTGGGTGGAACGGCTTATGGTGTCCCGGCTCCTAATCAACAAGGTCTCAGATTTTTTTCTGGCCCGATACTCGCTCAGAATTACTTTCAACAATGTGATATGCCAATCATAGCTGCAAATGGCTCAAATCTTGAAGTCGAGCAGATGCCCCAGTTTTTAGTAGATCAGTCAACTGGACCAAATAAGCACTCATCGGAACGTGACCTCAACTTTTCCTTACCATGTCAAAGCTTGTGTAACGTATCCAGCCAACAGAGTAGAATAGTTTCTGATTCTGGCGGAAATTTGCATGCTTCTAAAGAAAGCGATTTGCAAGGAAGCACTGCAAGTAGTCCTGAGTGGTCACAAGGAGAAGGACTCTCTTTTTTCCCTATGACTCCGATCCTCAAGATTTCAAAAGCCCAATGTAACGAGCAGCAGACACAAGTGATTAAGGTTGTGCCTCATAAGCCTAAGTTGGCTTCTGAATCTGCAGCCCGAATTTTCCAGTCTATACAAGAAGAAAGAAAGAAACATCAGGAGCTTTATCCCTTTTCGGCAGAGGAATCCCCGCCGAGTAAAACCGGTTTGTAACTGTCGTTTCCCATTCTTGAGTACATGATTTGATATGTGATTTTGTAGTTCTTTCTCCCAATTGTTAATTTACTGTAAATATATACACACGACAGGATCAAGGGATCAGTTGTCAATATATCGCTTTCATTTCTATTTATGTATAGGTTTGATGACAGCAGATGGTAGTAACATGAATTGTCAAGTTGTGCATATGTTGATCAAGTGTGGTTCTTTGAATATGTCAAAGTCCAAGTTCTTTGATATATACCGAGAAATCAAAATAAGATGATCAAATTGTCTCTTTTTCAAATTCAATAAATATTGATTGATCGTATATTTCATTATAGTTCTATGAGGGAAAATTTCATAACTAAGAAATTAATTATGGCACATTTCAAAAACAAGAAAACAAGTTTCAAATTTCAAAAATCTGATTTTTATTAAAAATTATTTATAATTTAATTAATTAATTTAGTAATTAAATATTTTTAAGTCACAAATTTATATAATTTGATCACAAATTAACGATTTAATTCGTCGTTTTTTTTATCACAAATCAAAAATTTTATGTCACAATTCAAAAATTTTATAGGTCATAATTTGTTCATCGGTCACAAACCGAAAAATTTATAAGTCACGATTTATTTAATGGTCACAAATTCCAAATATTACAAGTCACAGTTTATTGTACAGTCACAAATTATCAAATTATCGATCACAGATTAACAATTTTTTAGGTCACACATTATTTTTCGATCATAATTTATTTTTTCATTGGTCACATATTATTTATTGGTCACAAATTAACCATTTTAATGATCACAATTAACCAAATAATTTGTAACCACCACCAACACTTACTATTCACAGTCACAATTTTTAGGTCACGTATCCAATTATGAGTCACAGTCACAATTTTCAAGTCACTTATCCAATTGTGAGTCACAAATTAACCAAACCGCCACGACCACCGCCATAACCACCACAACCACCCCCTTTACCAACTGTGACTCCCAAATTGTGAGTGACAATTGGGAGTCACAAACACAATTTTCAGGTCACTGGCCCAATTATTTGTCACAAAATCAACCAAATCGCCACGACTATCACAACCACCATAATCCACCACAACTACTATCGTCACCACAACCAAGTCAAGCAATTTACTGGCCACAGACACTATTGATCCACTCGGCCAACACCAACATTGCTGCCACCAACACCATACTCCACCGCCTGCACCGCATCCAACAACCAAGAAAAAAACAACACCACGATTTGTACCATCAAATCACCATATTCGTCAACCACCACCAAAGCATCAGATCTGCCACCACAAAGTCACCCACCATCTCACCACAACCAGTCAGCAGCCAATACCACTGCACAATAGCACACCCAACCACCGCCCTCTCACAACACCGCAACGCGCACCACTACCTCTCCCACACCCTACGGCACCACACCAGTTCAATACTACCACCACCACACAGCCCACAACACTACACAATCACAGCACACACAACACCACGTCACATCGTCTCTCATGTGTAGATACACGTCGCAATGGCGGTGCGACAGTAGTCATGACTCACTTCGAGTGGCTTCAAGGAGAGGGAGGAACGTGAGGTAGACATGACACCGCTTCACTCCGACGACTACTAGTGGCTTCATTCTGGCGCCGGTGCTCTAAGGTTGAGAGGTTCTCGATGAGACGGTGAATAGAATTGTTGATAGGTGAGGCGGTGAAGTGAGGGTTTGATAGGTGAGGCGACGAGGTGAGGGTCTGATGGTTTACAGAGAGAGAGTCCGCGAGGAGAGGGTTTAGAGAGAGAGTTTGGTAGAAAATGAATAAATTTGGGTTTGAAATTATTATTTATTAGATTAATTTTTAAATATATTAATTAATTAAAAAAATTTCTGATTTGTGAAATATTAACCATGGTATTTTATTTATGAAATGGGGATTTTTAATCTATTAGAATGTGTAATTTCCACTAAATTTATTTAGAAATTTTTAATGATGATTGGACCGTTTATTGCATTATAATAAATCTTTACATTACATTATTTTAAATAAAGCAAAGTGTCCTTATCAAAAAAAAAATATATATATTTCTATAATATATAAAAATATAATAAATCATACATATGTACGTTTTAAATAATTTAATAAAGCTGATTGAAAACACGGAATAAAGTTTAAGTTTCTTTTTTCAGTATAAAATTTGTATCGATTTTATTAATTTTAAATCAATATTCTAAAAAGCTCGTCAATCGTCTAAACTCAAAGCGAGGCATTTTCAAGCAAAATGTCTCGCTTCGAGCCTAAACACTTTCTTTTCTTTCTTTTTAATTTCTAAATGGTTGAATCTTTGCGACTTATCTTTCTTCTTCCATATGCGCTCTTTATTAGTTTTTTTATTTTTTCTTTTAAAAGTCTTCTATTTGGCCTTTTTTTATTATTTAAAAAAAAACTTTTCATTTGACTTTAATTTCAAGATTTTAAAAGATTTTATCAGTATTAAAGTTAAAAATTACTTTATCCAATAAATAGTTAAATAAGATTTAAGGTACGATGCTATCTACATAATGTAATTATAATCTTGAACCCATTATTCTGTTGAAAAATTCGAAAGCATATATAAAATTCATATAAATCTATTAAGTAAGACTTGTTAAATTGAAATTTGAAATTATGAAAAAATAGTCTAATTTTTGCAATTCGAAAACTTCAATATTGTATAATTGACTAATACTATAAATTATTAAGTATAATATTTTATAATTTTATTCGTTTGATATGTATTATTTTAATTATTGAATAATTTTTAAAACAATTAAAAATTAAACAAAATATTAAAAATAGGAAAAGGCTTTTTTAAACCTAAGCCCTTAAACATGTAAAGCTTGAAGTTTCGCCTTCGAACCTATCCACGCTTTACGTTTTTTAGAATAATATTTTAAAAACAAAAGAACCATTTTGAACAATTTATATTTCTGAGAAAAGATGATAAAAAATAAATAAATAAATAAATAAAAAGCCTTTTAAACCTGAAATGGTGCTCTTAATTGTTTTCCAAAATAACATGTATTTGTGTCGATTTGTTAGTTAAACGGTAAATTTATCAAGCAATTTGTTGAAAATTTATCAAGTAAATTTATCAAAAAAGTAGTAACAAAATTTATCAAGCAAAAGCCATACACATGAAGCCTTTGTTTGTCAACCATTCTATCACATTATTTTTTTCTACTATACTCATTTTCAACCACTTATTTTTCATTAAAATAATATTATACATAAATCCCAAAACTTTTCTTTTGTTTTAATCACACATTTGAACATCAATCACTATTTTATAATACACTTTTTGAAATTAAGAAGGTACAAACAAGCCCTAAGGTAATAAACACTGGTGGAAAGTTGGGATTACAGGCTCAGCATTAACAGGGCATCCTATAGATATCTCACAATGGGTGGGATCATTAATTTATTTTTATTTTTTGCCATTTTTTATTACAATGAGGTCCCGCGTGGACCCGACCCCCATGGGAGTGCCATGTAGGAGACCTGTAAGTTGCTGCCCAGCCTGCCCTGTACACCCAGTTTGATTGGTGCTCATATTTCAATAAACAAGAATGGTAAACCAATATTCACACAAAGGAGTGCTAGCAATTCCAATATCTTGCCACGACTTTAGTGCAGTCCAGAAGAATATAGGCAAATCTGCATATTTATTTTCATCCAAGCAAAAACATCAGAAGTAAAGAGAGTCACAGTCGATTAACTGCCCCAAAGGAATGATCACTCAATTTTTCATGACCATGGCTAGCATCTCTATATAGATGACATTGTGAAATTTCTAGGCATCTCAGGTTCTATTCACGACGTCTTCTAGTGTCGCAATAAGCCGAAATTCAAACTTGAAGACACTTGAAGCCAACTGATAGACCTTTTTATGAAGGTAAAGTAAATCCCCCATATTGTTTGGAAGCTAGAAATGCAAGTCAAATAAAATAACCCACTCAATCACAATCAAGACTAAGAATCTAACATGCAACCAAGAATCATTCCATTGAAGTTCCGAACATAGAATCTAGTACATCGATAGCATATGCTACGTATACAAGTTCACAGGTAACAAAATCAAAATTTCTCGTGCAAAAACAATCTTATGATATGCTTTAGAGATCTGAAGAAACATGATTCAACCAAAAACTAAACAAGATTACAGAAATCAGGACACAGTTCAATCCACAAAAGAATCCTTAACTTTCAATCCAACCAAGAAAGTTTCCTCATCCATAACTTTCAGTCCAATCATTAGTTACATTACCATCGTACTAAGGCCTTAACATTGTACACCATTATCCAATCTTAACACGAGAAAATCTTGTTTATACATACGGTGAGTCGTGTGCATATGAGATGAAAATTTCGAAATATCAATAAAAGCTAAAGAATCTTGAATTTGGAGTATGTTTGGCCAGCAGGAAATCGAACCCATCCAATAACAATTAAATACAAAAGACATATAGATCCTGAATTTCTACATCTTCAGTAGAGCCTCAGGCATCACACGAAGACCTCAATAATTTCGATGAAACTGCAAATCAAAACAATAATTCGCGACAGTAACCTTGATAATAAAACGAAGCTTCAATTTTGTTTGCCTGAATTTCTCCATCCATAAGGTACATTAAGAATCACCCAACAAAACAACCTCAAGAATTCGATTAAGCTTCAACAATTTAGGTGAAAATGCAAATAAAAATAATAATAATAATAAAAGGGGATCATCCTTCAAAGCAAACCCTAACAATTTAGAAGAATTGTTCACGAAAAACCTTATCAAATTGGACAACCCAGAAGATCCATAAGAGTCGCTTGCCTAAAGTATCCTCAGTGATTTAGATAAAACTGCAAATTAACCAAAAATAAAAATAAAAATAAAGGATAATTTCTCCACAAAAACCTCCCTCGAGGATCAAAGTCCCAAAAAAATTTGGACCATTTCTCGATTTGTGCGTGTCATCCTTGCGCAGGGGCCATGCTAATCTTCTCTGTATCGTTCCAATTTTATCGGATGTCCCCGAAGGGACGAAACGTAGTTTACAGCTTCTAGAATATAAAATGATAAAGAATTTTGTGTTTGGTCGATGTGGGACTAAATAGTTAAGATTTAGTTCGAATACGACTAGAAAGGCTG